AATCAAAAAGGAGAATTTCATTAGAAGTTTGTGATATAATTATATCTGAGATCAAAAACAGGTTTGGCTTCAGTAATCATTTAGCGTGTCTCAGTTATTTCACGCAGATCGATTTAAAGATTATAAAAAAAGCTTTCCACAAGATATGTTTAAATTAGTTAAACCGGAGTATCCAGTCATAAATCATTTGAAACTTAAAACTGAATTAAAAGTATTATATAGCTGAGAAGATTTTTCCAATAATGAAGGTGCAGTTGCTTTGTTACAGCTTTTTATTAACAATAATTTGTGCAATACTTTTTCTGAAAGTGTCAAACTGTTAAAAATCTTGTGTACTCTCCCTATGACTACCGTCGAAAGTGAACATTGTTTTTCCACCTTAAAAAGAATAAAGACATTTTTAAGAAATACCATAGGTCAGGAAAGGTTATCTTCTTTATCTATGCTTACCATAGAAAGGGCATTAATAAAGAAGATAAGAGACTTTAATGAAAAAGTAATTGACCACTTTGCATCTCAAAAAGACCGGAGGATCGACTTGGAATTTAAATCACTTTAAAAGGTAGGTAATACAGTAAACTCTTCTAATTGACCTCCCTATCTCTTGAGTCACAAACCGCCGTTGGTCTACATAACTCTATTACGACAGAAATGACCAGTCAAACGCGTCGAAGTTGCAAAATCTTACCTGACAAGTTTTATTACATTTGTGGAGAATTCCTTGTGAAGTCACAAGCGAGGCCATTGTCTGAAAATGTGAAGAAAGCGTATTTTCTATATTTTGGAGTTTTAGTCGAAGATCAAGACAAGCAATGGGCTTCCCACTTTTGTTGTGTAAGTTGTACCGTGTCATAAGTGCAGTGGATGAAAGGGAAAAGAAAAAGCATACCTTTTGCGGTTTCAATGGTATGGTGAGAACTCACCAATCATTTCAATGATTCTTATTTTGTCTAAAATTATATAAAATTTTTAACCTAGATATAGCTTTTTTTTATGCAGTTTGAAATATGCTTATTAAATCTAAGGTCTGAATCTACAGTCAAACCTAAAACTTTTACCTCATCTTTTACTGGTATATCGATATTATTGATTAATTTTTACATCTCGTAGGAGACGCGATCTGTCAGTATGTCTGCCAAAAAAACATTACTGCACACTTCATGGGATTTTAACGGAGAGAATGTTCTAGAGATATTTTATAAAGTATTTCTAAATCATTATTAATAATATTACAACCATTTTGGGGATCATTTGGGTCAAATCAATAAAACAATTGCGTGTCGTTTGCATACACTTGTATCTCACAATAGTTTAAAAATGTAGTAAAAAAGATGTGGAACGAGTCCTAATATAGAACCTTGGGGCACACCACATGAGACATATATAGGATTGCAATATTTGTATTTAAGTACAACCTTTTGTTGTCGTCCAATTAAATAATTATTAATAAAATTGACAGCATTCATATCAAATCCAATGAATTTTAAAATTTGTAATAAGATATTATGTTGAATAGTATCGAAGGCCTTTGAGTAGTCGAGCAACATCAAAATAGAACATAAATTAGATTTAATTGAACTAAGCAGATGAGCTGTAATATTTAGTAATGCAGTATCACAGCTATGCCCCTCCCTAACTCCAGACTGCTCATCTGGGAGTATTTTATTTCACTATATATTCAATAATTTTAGATAAGATAGGCAAAATGCTTATCGGTCTTAAATCATGGAAATCTTTGGGATTGTTGGTTTTAGGGAGAGGAATAACATATTCCATATTCCATGCCATGGGATAAATCGAACTTTTTAAACAAAAATTCACAATATATCAAATATATTTTAAAATAAAAGGACAACATAAGATAATAAAATCAATGTGCATTCCATCTCACCCAACAGCTTTAAATGTAAGAACAGAAGTTACATTTTCTTTTATATTATTATAATAATTAAGATTATCAGATGTTATTTTTTGGTATTGAGTTTATAAAATGATTGTTTATTAAGTCCACATGTGCGAGTTCAGAAGGAAGATTTGTAATTTGTTTTTTATTGTAAATATTAAGTTGTTTTAATTTCCTCTCATATCATTTTCTGAAAATCGTAAGAAAGCTTTTTTCTCTTCTTATGGAGCTAGTTGTAAAGTTTTTAAAGTCTTTGTAATTTTGCCAGTTCTGTGGAGTTTTATTTTGTTTATATTTTTGTAATGCTTTATTTTTTATTTTAATTAATTCTTTTATGTCATCGGTAATCCATGGCTATATATTTTCATAGCCAAATTATACGAAATGGTGAATAAAGAAGTTGTCATTCCCCCCATAATAGATTTTATTTAGTCCAATCCTTTCATGAAAATATAAACGAAAGTATGAAATATTCTTAACTTCCTATGAATAGTGTATTCTTTAATTTAACATAAAAGCACTGTTTCATTCTAACAAAACTAAATCTTCTACTAAATATAAATTAAGTTAGTGAACCATGGCAGTTATTCAATTGGTTTTTATAGAAATTATAAATCCATCACTGTTCAATTAAACGATTCCCCAAACCCTTGTAGACATTATTCTCGTACCGTTCTGTCATTGTACCAGACGAATATTTTCATGAAATTTCGATTTTGTATCAAGCGCTGGTCTTACACAATGTGAAGCGGCTTTTGTACTTTGTATTGACTCGCCCGAATGGACACATTCATACGGCCAAATTGTCGTGTTAAAATCGAGAAATAGCCGATGGTCACACAAGAATTTTAGAAAGCTTTTAAGTTGTGTAGTTGCATGGCGGAACTGTTGGAATTCAGTTTATAGGGAAAGCGGGAAAACATTAAAAGAAAAAGTGTATTATTGACATCAGAGTATGTTTTAATTGAATATTATGTTTATTTAAATAAAAATGGCTCTTCATCATTAAAAACATTGTTAATTATGATTTGCTTATTGAAAAAAGTTATGAAATTCAGAAAATTTTTCAAAAGCGTCTTTTCTAATTTTTTTCCATCACGTATTTCCGCAATGACGTTATCGTCAATTTTTTAAATGGCAACCCCCACTGTTTTTAAGGATTCTAATTCTCCTTGAAATTCTGCATACAGCAATATGCGCCTGTGTGAAGTTCAAATGATTAGTCAGCGATTTTATTGATATTTATGAAAAACTGAAAGTAAAAAGTCGCAATATACAGGGTGGGCTAGATTTTAATCCAGAAATATAAAAAGTCGATTGAACACGCCAAAATAAGGGTAGTGGTGAGAGGTATGTGAAACTTTTCATATGGTCCAAATGCTACTATCCGACCGACATCATAGATGTCTCTGTGGTGGATAGCGACTTGCGAAGCAAGTACCGAGAGCGGCGACCTCTAGCCCAGGTGGACTAAACTACTGTTATTAAATATGATTTGAACGAAACAACTACTTAGCGGGCAAATACCTCAACCTGCATTGGATTATATAATCCAATGCACTACTCAATTTACCTTAGCCATATATGACTAGCAGGTTGGCCACTTTCATTTGTCTGTTCCATAACCTATGGCATACTGAGGAGAACTAATAAGTTCGAAACTGGTCTATGTCTGGTTAGGAATTGACAAATGATATTGGCTACCGATCTATCATGATTTGAAGGTATAATCCAATACAGGTCGGGGTATTTGCCCACTGAGTAGTTGTTTGGTTCAAATCATATTGAATAACGCCAAAATAAGATGAATTGTCATATAAACTTATAGATAAATATGTTCAGTTTTCGAGATGAAGTTTTAATTCATTTTCAGTTTTTCCCATATTTCTTCGAAAATAGTTGAGACATTGTTATGAAATTTGGAAGGTGCACATTGCGTACACCAATATACTTCTCACCATAGTTTTCAACCCTCCATTCTAACCAGAAGCGTGATGGTGTGGGGGTGTCGAAGACACTCTTTCCAAAAAAAAAAAAACGGGACGCCACTGATCTAAGCTACTTTTTCGTTATTGTTCGATATTTATTATCATTAGTGCACAAAAACGTTCTCTTATAATTTTTTATAGGATGTCTTTGAAGAAAACTCATTTCAAAATCATTCATCCCCCGCTTATCAATTAGCTGTTAATTAGGAATCGTTAAAAATTATTTGGTTTTGCATTTTTTTTCCATTAACACAATTTCGAGATGTACGCAACTTACACCTTCTGAATTTCACAACAACGTCGCAATTATTTCCGGAGAAATGCGACCTCTATCTTGAAAACTAAGCATTTTTAGCTACAAGATTATATGACATACCCACATTATTTTGGCATATTCTACGGATTTCCGATTAAAATCTGGCCACCCTGCATAGCTGGGGAAACTCCATCTAGTGAAGAATGGTTCGTCACTTAACAGAAAACAATGAATTGAAATTTTGATTATGAAGAGATATAGGGACAGGCAGGGTGCACAAGAAATCTATGTTTTATTCAATATTAAATATCTCGATCATAATCCCAGGGTGCGTTCCACAGTAAACAAAATTCAAGGAAATTTTATGAAAGTGGACATACTAGGAGCGATACTAAGAGAAGAGTACAAAAAAAAAATACGCACAGCACTATGTTGCCTGCTGATAATGAAATTAGTCAATCTTCTGTTGTAAGGTACTTGAAAAATCGTAAATGGTATCCGTACAAAATGACGAAGAATATCCTAATCGCAGGATATAATTTTATGGTAACATGATAGAGAGGTGCAATGCTGATGCTGATATTGCCAACCGTATTATCTTTCCTGATAAGGCCACATTTTATCTTAGCAAAATTGTTGCTATTGGGCTCCCCAGAATCCACATTGGACGATGGAAGCCCATATTCAATATGCAGAAAAGTTTAATGTTTAGGTTGGTATTAAACACCACATGTAATACAACCTCCTGCATCTCTGAAGGGACCTCAGGGTACCTTGTGTGAGAGAAGGCTACACATTTAGAGACAATGAACACATACCCAATGTCCTAGTATACTAGGATTAATTTCTGGTTTGGAAAAGCTCCTCGATCGGGAATCGAACCCGGCACTCCTGGGTGAGAGGCAAGTGTCCGTACCATTTAACCACGAAGCCACTGTTGGGAGTAGAATTTAAGAACCCTATTTCATTGGAGGAACACTAACAGGTGACAAGTATTTAAAACGACTCAGAAACAGTGATGCCAGATCTAGAGAATTTTTCCCACTGAAAATACCTAAGCGGATTTTAGAAAAACCCTTGATTTACCTAGATTGGTATAAAGAGAAAATAATTCTCCAAAATTTAAAAGATCCGCTAAATTCTCTATATCTTTATTTGAAAAATAAACCTGAATCTAAGGAAAACTCCCTATATCTGGCATCACTGCTCAAAAACCATCCCGTTCTAGTCGTGCGGTATTCAAATCACAACGTCACCGATGTTTCCAATACTGGATTGTGATTCCAGCAAGAACACCCCTCATTATCGCGTTACGGTTCAGAGTTACTAAAAGGTAATTGTTTTTTGGCGCTAGATTGGGAAGCGAGAGGCAATTGAACGATTGCTACCGTCACCTGACCTCGCCTTTTTATATACACTGTATAATTATTCGTAGGGTTCCACCTAAAATTCAATGTTCTAATAGGCTGCACAATAATTACTGATACTTATTTTGCATTTCACATAACTTTATGTGTTTACGCCATACTGACTGGACTGAAATAAAAATGGCTGTACTTAGAGTTTATTTCAAACTTATTTACAACATAAAAAACGTCAGCTTCTTTGAGGGCAGTAAAGGGATCAAGGAAGCGGACGTTTTTTATGTTGTAAATATGATTGAAATAAACTTTACAGGTGGTTATGCAACGTTAGTCTCCTTCACAGAAGACAAATTTTATATTCGTTGCACCAAAGACTAGCACTTCACTGAACACCGAACTTACAAAGGCACTCACCATTAAACATTAACTTTACATTAATTGATAATCCCTAATCAGATTACACCTCGGGTACCAAATCAAACAGCCTCTTTCCACAACATCTTGCAGAGTTCTCCCCTCAAGCCATCTTGCCACTTCCGGCCCTGGCGCGCCTCCTGTCTATCGTGATAATCATTAAAGTTCTAGCGATAGACAACCCATTATTTAATTGTGCAGATTTTGCCTAACTAGCAGGGTCTAAAATAAATTAAAATTTTCATTTATGCAAAATACGGAGCAACCAAAAAAGTGGTTTGTTACAGGGGCTATCTTAAGAGTAAGGCCTACTGTAACAAACCAAAGTCCATTGAGGCTTTAAAACAAAGAATCCGAATGACAACAATTTTGCAACTACCTCGATTTTTTGTACACATCACACAACCCCATATTGCATGCAAAATTTAAAGGAAAATCAGAATTCTTCAAAATAGTGGCAGGTGCCATTTAAAAAATGGTGATCACGGCAGTGCGGAAAGGGTTGGGGGAAAAATGACAACTATCAGAAAAATGCGCATTTAAAGATTAAGGTTAACCTGTTCGAGGATTTTGGCCGTAGATAATCCTAGAATTTTTTATGCTCCAAGCATTCCACAACTAACATTCGCATCGTATAAATGAGAAACATAAATTCTATTTTATTACAATGTAATATTTTCACGTCCAACTCCTTATTATGAGTCCCCTATTGTTTCAAAGGAGTTTCATTCGTTAATGGTTTAAAATAAAATTTTATGTCACCCGATTCTCCTATCAAAATATCTGTTCGATTACTGCTCGAAAATCGCAATCGATATTACAACAGTTTGACCAAATGGGGTTCTCCTGTGAGAGGGAATTTAATAGAAAAATTATTTGCCTGGCATTATTTTTCATTAATTAAAAGCTGAAACATTGCGGTTCATACTTTTATCTGTTTCTCTGAAATAATTCACCAGGATATCAAATTAGACCTATGCAGTCAAAAAATGGAAATTTATGTTTTGATTAAATTATGTTTGACACTGCTACACATTAGTTATTATTAAAAATTCCAGACAAAAATCAGCGAATTTTACGGGAAGGGATAATTTAGATATAAAATAATACCAACCGGGCCATTAGCCACAAATTTCCATTAGGCATTGTTACAATAATTAATATGTTTCATATAACTAATGGTTTGTCTAAACAAAATACAGTTTGAGTCAACAGTTTAATGGAGAGATGGACAAATCAAGTAACTCATCTGAAAGACAAATACAATAAAACTATTTGAAATATTTTACCATGATTCAAAAAATTTATAAACATGTACAGAGCGATTTCATATTTAAAAAAAATGCGACCTATTTTTTGATACTATAAATTTGCTTGATACTTAAAATGACACGTTTGACGAATTTTTAAAAATAATATTTCGTTTCTGCTATATCGGTCAAGTGCCAATTTTGGTTGATAGTTTATGATTAACAAAGACTATCACAATCAGTTACTTGCAGCCAAATAATAAGGAAATATAACGGTCTCTTTGGAACAAACTGTATACTTGAGATTATTTTTTAGAATATTTTTTGTCCACGACTATTTAATAATGTACTCATTATGTATATGTTTCCTCAAGGATAATGCTATCCATTATTCCCTGCAGTGAATAATGATTTCATTATTCACTAGTGAATAATGAGGACAGTCAGTTGTTTATAAGAAATCACGTTAGTGACTTTACTAAAAATTTAAAATGTCAAAATTGTAGTAACCAAAAGTGTTGTATCACTAAGTTTTCTAGGAAGCACTCTAATGGTACATGTCGAAGAGGTACTTTAATGAACACTACATTAGTAAGTTTATTTCAAAGCAACACGCGGCAATCTCAAGCATTGTTTTTGATAACATTTACCTACGTGCCTACAAACTGTATTATTTTATTAGTAAGCCATGATAATGTGTCAAAGCGTAATTTTGTTATTGATTTGAAACCTCAAAATTTGTGCGTCATATTTATCTCGTTCATTTAATTTGTTAGTTGTTTAAAAATAAAGAAAGTAAAACGATGGATACCGATAGTGAAAATGAGATGTCTTGTACACCGTCAAACATTACCAAAGCTGCTGAAATCACTTTTTTTGAATTTATTGCCAGAAAAATCGAGAAAACAATATATTTCAGTATATAATAATAATCAACATATTAATTTAGATGTTAATTCTCTACCATCCATTCAATTGGCGTATTGCTCTAACGTTAATGTAACTATTAATATAACTAAGTAGCAGGTTGGCCACTAACATTTGTCTGTTCCATAACCTATGGCATACTGAGGAGAACTAATAAGTTCGAAACCGGTCTATGTCTGGTTAGGAATTGACAAATGATATTGGCTACCGATCTATCATGATTTGAAGGTATAATCCAATGCAGGTCGGGGTATTTGCCCGCTGAGTAGTTGTTTCGTTCAAATCATATTTAAAAACAGTAGTTTGGTCCACCTGGGCTAGAGGTCGCCGCTCTCGGTACTTGCTTCGCAAGTCGCTATCCGCCACAGAGACATCTATGATGTCGGTCGAATAGTAGCATTTGGACCATATGAGAAGATTCACATACCTCTCACCACTACTCAATTTACCTTAGTCAGTATATGACTAGCAGGTTGGCCACTATCATTTGTCTGTTCCATAACCTATGGCATACTGAAGAGAACTAATAAGTTCGAAACCGGTCTATGTCTGGTTAGGAATTGACAAATGATATTGGCTACCGATCTATCATGATTTGAAGGTATAATCCAATGCAGGTCGGGGTATTTGCCCGCTGAGTAGTTGTTTCGTTCAAATCATATTTAAAAACAGTAGTTTGGTCCACCTGGGCTAGAGGTCGCCGCTCTCGGTACTTGCTTCGCAAGTCGCTATCCGCCACAGAGACATCTATGATGTCGGTCGAATAGTAGCATTTGGACCATATGAGAAGATTCACATACCTCTCACCACTACTCAATTTACCTTAGTCAGTATATGACTAGCAGGTTGGCCACTATCATTTGTCTGTTCCATAACCTATGGCATACTGAAGAGAACTAATAAGTTCGAAACCGGTCTATGTCTGGTTAGGAATTGACAAATGGTATTGGCTACCGATCTATCATGATTTGAAGGTATAATCCAATGCAGGTCGGGGTATTTGCCCGTTGAGTAGTTGTTTCGCTCAAATCATATTTAAAAAATAACTAATTAGTTAGTGGTAGTATGTTTTAAAAAATAAATTGTTATGTTATTATTAAATAAATTTTGTTAAATAAGGCTTTAAAGCCTAAAATTTTGTTTTGTAAAATAGAGCTAAAAATTGACATTATAGTCGTGGACAAAGTATAATATTCTACTCGCATATAATGGCTATTATTCATTCGGGAGATTACGAAACTCGCCTGCTGCTCCTGTCGTAAACATCACCCTCGTGAATAATAGCCATCATTATAGGCTCGTTGCAACCTTCCTGGAATCAAACTGAATTATATGGAAATGCTATTAGGACAATTACTGTAATCAGATATGTAAATATTTTCCACTATAAAAATGTATTTAGTCACGTATAAGTCTTTAAACAGCGAAGATCATTACCTGTTTTCTTTTGTGCAATTATTGGTAAAATAGTCCCCTTCCATTTTGTTGAAATTCTCAGAATTGGGGACGTGCAAGTATTTGAATAACAATTCAAAAGAAAGCTGAAGGTATGTATTTTAATGTGCTTATGATATTTTGTTTTTTTTTATTTGTCATAAAAAAAATGTCCATATTTGTCCACAATTTTTGAGTATTCATTTTAAAGCTTCAAGTATGTTGCTTAACAGCATATTGTCACATTTTGCTTTTAGCCGCTATTTCGTTAGAAAAAACATATCTAAAAATAGAAGATACATGCGGCTGATTTTACAAAATGTTATAATATATTTTCTAAAAAAAGATTTGTAATGCAAAACGCATATTGTTCGTCAAAAAATATCTGTGAAATTATGGACTTTCTGGAAGAAGTCAATAATGCAGAATAGAGATCACTTCTCTAAAAATTCGTAATATTTGCTTTAAATTCGCATCAAAAGGGAAACAATCTGGGAAGCAAAATTTGAGATTTCTCGCATTGAATAAAACATTGTCGAGTTGT